AGCATTGTTTGCAGCAGGACATGAATGGAACTGCTGTAAACCCTGAAGCCAAGGGGAGGGTGRCAGGCGGGGGACACGCTGCCATCTCCTGCCAGGACACCGGAGCACAGTGTCTGCCTCTCGCAGGCACATCCTGTGAAGCACCACCATAAACTCGGGCAGAACTCAGCTCAGAAAATCCTGGCCAGATCCTGGACCTCAGGTGCACTCTTTGGGTCTTTCAGATGCTAGTCTTCAAAGGTGTTGAGGTCTCASTCCAAACTTTTGCAGCTTCCCCACCAGTTAAAATTTACACTCCGTGTGCTCCTCAAACTTGCAGCCCTGTGTATCTGCTTCACTCCAGATACAGGTTTTTTGGGAGCAAAATTGCATTCTCCACATCATCAARTCAGGATGAACTGCCTCAGCCCTGCTTTATCCCTGCAACAGCTGCAAGCMAAAATAACATTATTCACCATAAAAGTGTGGATTATACAACAAAAATATCTGTCATTCCGAAACCACAAATGTAATTGGGCATTTAAGTGCAATTTTGAGGAATGGCTACAGGCATCATTTATCATATGGGTTCCAGTAATGGCAAATATTGATGTCTAARAAGAAGTTCATACAAGAAGAAGAAATTTTATCCAATATAGTGTAAAGATTAGTTTTCTGAACTGATAGTGACTTTGAAATGTGAATACAGACTATTGTTTAAATTTTGCCATCGATGAAATAACCAGGTTTCTTAACCGAGTGTTTCAGGCTTGTCCCTGTTATTTTTTTTTTCTAGAGTCCAGCATCTCCAGCAACTTGTGTGCAGAGTTCTGTGGAAAGGGTACAGTGAAAAAAATCTTCATTTTTAAAGGATCATCACACAGGAAAATAATTTTTAAAACCCCAGACAGTTCCATTGACCATTATTCTGTCTCAGCAATGTCTCTCTGCAAGGTTGAACTGTTTGAGTCTGAGAGTCTTCCAGGGGTGGAGGTAGGACCATTTTGAGCCCAGGAGATGAAGGGCCCCATGTGAACTCCATCTGTAGGAGCAGCGTTGCATCCAGCTCTGAAGTACCYTCAAAAGAGCCACAAATCCCAGTCCCTGATTGGAGAGATTCACCAGAGGGCAGCACAATATCACTTTCTATTGTAAAAGCAGGAGTTAATCATTTGAGCTGTCAGAGGCCTCTTAGAAATTAGCTCTTTGTTCCATCATTATGATTTCAAGTAAGTTTCTCTTCAAAGCTAGCCCATGGAGCAGCTCCTAAATCCAGAGTACAGGACATTGATGTTTTAATGTCCAGGCATTCACTTAGTGGAAGCAGAGGGWGTTCAGGCAGTTGTGTTTTCAGTGAATTTCTTTGCCAGGTTTCTATCCAGGGCTGGTTGGGGCAGCTGATGGTACTGGTCCAGCTTCAAGCATTTCAGAAACTCTCCTGTGTTAAAGGCACCAGCCTGGGTGAATATTATTTCAGCCTCATCTTTTGGAAGGCATTAAACAGAAGGAGTAAGCCCTCTGATGTCCCTACATGATAAGGATTCACAGAGAGTGGATCTAGAGCCACAGAATCGTGGAATGGCCTCGGTTGGAAGGGACATTAAAGATCATCCAGTTCCAACCTGACTCTTTTCACTAGACCAGGCTGCTCAAATCCCCATCTGGCTGGACCTGGAACAYTTCCAGGGATGGGGCATCCACAGTTTTTCTGAGCAACCTGTTCCAGTGACCCAYCACYCTCCCTGCAAGAATTTCYTCCTAGTATCTAATCTACACCCACTCTCAGTCCCCCTTATTCTATCATTACATACCCCTTTAAARAGTCCCTCACCAGTTTCCTTATAGGTCCCCTTTAGGTACCGGGATGTTTTTGTGTTATAATTGTATTTACTTCTGATTGCCCTGTGCTGAGCAGYTTCTAGATCCTTTAGCACTTATGCCAAACTCCTGCTGTTCAAGGAGCTAAGAGGAGTCATTGGTCACACTTTGCCTGCTCAGCKTCCTTCATTCAGGGCTTCACCTATCATCAATCTGTTCCTAGTTATTATTACTCTGTTCAGTTTGCACAGCTGCCTCCAGCRGTCCCCTCCCCTGGTTCAAGTGTCACTGTGCTCTTCTGTCCTTTGCTGACCTCTTTCTCTCAACACACAGTCAAAGCATTTTGTGCTCTTTTCCTGTRAATTAACTACATCTCCTGGCCTTGGTCATTCCCTTTGCTGTTTTGACTTGTGCCCRGTGGGATGCCTCATGTGTAGCATCAGTCTTGAGCTCCACTCCTGACATCACACGTAGAGGTCTCCCTTGACTGACTCTTTCTGATCTYGCTCCTTTTGAAGTTCTGTCTGAACTCCATCTGCTCCACTCATCCTAACACTTCCTCACTCAGTACTGAAGCCTTCAAAGACGCAGCTTTTCCATGGGGCTGCTCCTCATATATCCTCAGCTTTCCTTGGTTCAAATATTATCTTTATTCCAGGAACCTTAAGAATATATATTTAGAATAAAAGAGTCCCTTTTCTTACAGTGTGAGCTTAAGTTACATTACTTGGTCTTCTGAGAGGAGTATAGCATTGTTCTTCAGAGTGGTACAAAATTAGGAACTTAGCAATAGAAATAATTTAAATAACTTTCAAGACAGCTCTGTGTCTGCTCTAAAAGAAAATAAACATGTGTTTCTGTTTTAAGAAAAATATTTTAAAATCCCTATTCCTTTTCTTATACTTTTCTTTGCCCAATATTTGGGGGGGATGGGAAGTTTCTTCTTTTCATTTGTGTTCTTTTTATTTCTTGGGAAAACCAAGGAAGAAAAGACAACAAAAATACTGAAAAAAAGATTTGGTTTGGTTTCCTTTGTTYTTACATTCCATTTTTATTTCATCATTTTTTTCCCAAGGAAAAAGAAAAATTAGAGGTTTTTAAAGGCAAAAGGATTGGGCAAAAGAAATKAAAAGATCTTTTAAGAATTTTCTGTAAGTTTTAGCAGGGCAGGAAATGTCTTTGAAAATTCACCAAAAAAAGAAAGTTTAAAAGTGAAGTATTTTCTATTCAACCTTCTTAACAAGGGTTTGGAGATAGTTAAGGCAGCCAGCACAGTGTGCTTTGTAATGTTCTCTAAATGAGGTCAGTCCATCACCTCTACAGGAATCCACACCAATGCACAGTGCCCTTGCATGCCATCACAGATGACCTTGTGGGCATTACACCAAGTTTTCTCCTGATTCAATCTGATTCTGTTTCTCTTAAGGTCTCTCCATTTCACAGTCAGTGATTTTGCTGTATACATAATTTTTAGAGTGATCTGCCACTGGTTTWAAATGTTTAATTTGTCAGGCTCTGCCAAGATAACCGGAGAGGCACATTGCTTGGCAGTGGTCATCCCTGAAGGGAGGTGGCTCTTTGGTGTTTATGCACAAGGCTTTCCAGTAAGATGTATTTGCTTTGCCAAAGTGTGGCACACATTCCTCCTGTGTATTTAGGGGCTTGGAGAAGTTACACATTGTATGGCTTTTTTGTTGCTTGACCGAACAAAAACATTTTAACTACACCTTCTTCCCATTTCAATATCCATGCCACTATTAGCTAAAAAAAAAAAATTAAAAAGCTTTTATCCACTGTGGATATATTAGTAATGTTTGGTTTTTGGAAGGTGTACAGAAGTCTCATCCTGCATTGTTGAAATCAATGAGCCCATTTAATTCAGGAACAGAAATGTTRCTTGTAAGAGCTACCCAGTCACATAACTTAGTTCTTAAGTATATCCTCTGATTCACCAGATTTCCTTTTATCTAAATGGCCTTCTTCTGGAAATAAATCTTTTTCTCATATGATTTTAATAACAAAGTGGTGATATGTTTTTATATACAAGTATGATATTAATAACTAATTGAATTCGTTTTTACAAAGGATGCTCTTGCTGCAAAAATAAATATATGTACATACATATTTCATTTACAAAAMCATGTATCTATGAAAATATATGCATTAAAGAAGTCATTAGTGGCTTTAGACAGTCTTCAATCTTACATTTGTGCTACTTTTTCATTCCCGAAATATATCTGCTCATTTCTTAGCCATTGTATTCTATTTCAGTTTTTATCAATCTTGAGTCAGGCTGAAAGCCTGTAAATAGGCTTTGCATAACCTATTCCCAAGTGATGGAGAAATTGATACCTTCAGCAGTGAATAATTAATAATGTCTTTTCAATTTTGCCATATCAGCAATGAATTGCATTAAAAATATGTACATAATTTTGGAATGTACTGTATACCAAAACTTATATATGATAAATAGGGTTCACTTCCTCAGAGGCTGCTGTGCTGTAGCAAAAGTTGTTTTTATTCAAGTTATTAAAAAAACACCCTGTTTAYTTTGTTCTGCTGCTTTCTGAGACTCATGTGGGGAGAAGCTGAAAAAGAAAGTTCACTGTGGTTACTCTCCAGACACACTATTAAGAAAACAAGCATATCACACAGAAATAAGACCAGATCTTACCTGCTGCGAGAAAGGTTTCTGGGTCTTCCTTTCAAAGATTTACCCAGCTTATTTGTCACTGCRCTTTAAGCCTCGAGTCATGTGCAGGCAGGAGACACTGAGAGGGAAAGAGTTGAAAACTTACTTCAGCTCTCTTGTAGGCTTGTTAACTTTGCAGAAGTTGGCATTAGTTTTRAAAGCTCCCTTTGCAATGAAATTTATAAATAGGACCACAAAATAGATTACTCTGTCCCTCAAAGTTGATTTATAAACCTTTTCCTGAAAATACAAGTACAGAGATGCTGTACTACCTTTTATTCATGTTGAGCTTSTAGATAGGTAACAGCTTGCGTTAATATTTGACAAATCTGTTCCATGTTGCTGTCAGAAATGGAGCTGAAAATCTCTTTGACTGGCTGGCTTGTACTTGAAACTGGTGTTCGTAAGATCTGGATCTGAAAATCTCTCCTGCCAGACTTGTAGCTGTCAGATTCATTATCTTCAAAATTTCTCTTAACCTCTGATGGTGGGTTTGTTTTTTTTTCTGCAGAAACAGAAGGTGCATGCAGCACAGATGTCGGCCTTTTTCAAGGAGTAACCTCTTCAGCCCCGAGTGATACCAGCTCCTGTTAGTACCATGGGGCCAGAGGGTGGTTTCTTGGGCAGTGGACAGATCCAYGTGATCCTGTGGGGAAGTTTGGCAGCCATGACAACACTCTTGTTCCTCACCTTCCTCATCTTYCTTTGCTCCAGCTGCAATGGGTAAGGCTCCAGGGTTTAATGGCTCTTGATTTACTTTCTACAGGGATTGACACAGCTTCATGAATAAATAGTTAGCAGGAAATACTGAGGACTTAAATACAGATATAAAGAAAGGTACTCATAGCAAACCCGATTTTGAACAGTTCTATTCATTCTAAAATCTAATTATGTTTTTCTTTTGCTGTGGAGGAGGTACATCATTGTGCATATTTGGTGGTTTCCCCTAAGCAGAAGCCTGGTGCACAGGTGGACACTGAGTGTTATCAGCTCACACCCCTAAGCTGAAAGTGAGAGCATGAGGTGGGCTGAAAAAGTAGAGGTTAAAAAGGAAAGGGAAGTGATGATGTACTTCAGCTTTGCTTTGGCCATTCCTGAAGTACAGGGAATCGATCCTGCCTTTCAAGCAAAATGAGTAAGGATCAAATGGTGATGCTAATTAATGTCTTACACCTTATCCTTATTTTCTTCACATAAGAAGATTCAATTTCACCAATACAGGCACTTCTACTGGCTTTGTTTCTTCACATTTAAAGGCTCCTTCATGACATGTAMGCTGAGCCCTGCTGCCTGCACAGCAGCCTGGGCAGCCTGGACTTTGTTCATGGTGCCCTTCCACCAGGCYAGAGACCAGTCAGACCTTCACTGTGAGGACTGGGACTGMTGTGGGCCATAYTGCTGTATTTTGCAAGCATAGCTCMATCAGCCAAGTATATGGGGGGAAAAAACGCAGTACAGCAGCAAAATCTGCACTTTGGATGCACGTGCCTATGAGGAGCATGTGCTTTCACTCATTCAGCTTTGAGAGCATTGAGGAAACTGCAGCCATAAAATGCACTCTATTGGAACAAGGTAGTCTGCAGTGGAAATTCCTGGTTTTCAGCAGGATTTCTGTAACTCCCACCATGCAAAAAACAGTCAAGGACAAAAACAGGCCCCAAAAGTTGGCTGAAACCCTAAAAAGCTTTAGTTGGAACTTGAAATTTCATGTGATTCAGAAGAAACACTTTTGTAAACTGTGAGTAAGGATCAAATGGTAATGGTAAACTGTGAGTTGGCACTTCAGTATCATTGTCACAATTTCCTGTGATATCTGTGTAAAAACTGGTAGAAATATATATTTTTAAAGTTATTTAAAAGTAGAACACCTATTTCAAATATTCTTTACTCCACAAACATTGCAAGTAGGTACTRTGTATCATCTTTTAAGGCCTTTTCCAGCCCAAATGGTTCTATAATTCTGTGTTTTATTTTGTAACACACCAATCCTTGAAACATCTCTAGGAACATGAGTCAAACCATTGAGTAGTCTTTGCAGTTACAGAGGTACATTGCCTGAAACATTCTTGTGATGTTCTTTAATAAATTCTTGTGTCACTAGCTTGGACGTAGTATCTTTTGTTTCCGGTCATTCTCTAGRGCGAGTTGTTTATGCATAAATGCAATTATGCAGAATTTCTTCCTGGCTTACTCTTCAAAAATGGATGAGGACATAGAAAACGGAATGGAATTTGCTCTTTCTAAAATATCAGAGTCAGAAAAACTTCCAGAGAGGAAATGCAGCTTTTGACTTTCTCGTCTCTGCATTGGTGCAGGCTCACTTGTTCTTTGTTGTTTCCCAATTAGGTAGAATTTGAACAGTTGCTAGTGTGGAAGTACAGTTCCCTGCTTCCCTTTAGAAGCAGCACAGATTTCATATTGTCAATATTTTCTCACCTTTTTACTTGACTTTTCATCTAGGGGAAGGACTAACATTTTTTAAGCTCATACTTCATTGCAGTATTTCTGAGTAAGAGCTCTATTTCCCAAATGGTAAAACCTGTAAACATAATCCATACTTAGACTCCTGTGAAGGGAAGTAGAATTCCTTTTAAAATGTAGACCTCTGTTGCTATGAAATTTGTATGCCTCTTTGAACTGCTCATGTGTATTATTAAGTTGACTAGCATTTTCAGTGGAAGTTGGCTGGATTTTCTTTGGCCTTTTCTAATTCCTCACACACTTTTTACTGACACAGTTTAAGGATCTTCCCAAGTAGTCTGTSACCAAAATGTGTATTTCAGATATGATTAAATTTAAGATAATAATATTTTCATTATCATACAATCATAGAATGGCTTGGGTTGGAAGGGACCTTAAAGATCATCCAGTTCCCTGTCATGGGCAGGGACACCTTTCACTRGACCAGGTTGCTCAGAGCMCCATCCAGTCTGGCCTTGAACACTGCCAGGGATGGGATATCCATAAGTASTTGCTTCTCTGAGCAGCCTGTTCCAGTGTCTCACCACYCTCACAGTAAAGAATTYTTTCCTAATATTTAATCTAAACCTAMTCCCTTTCAGTTTGAAGCCATTCCCCCTTGTCCTGTCTCTGCATAGTTGTAAACATTATATTGTAATTATCATCAGTGACTCCTCACTGTAATCTTTTACTGAATGAGAAATAGAATTGTGTGTGTTTTACCTTTTCAATTATGTTTATCACCATCCTGCCTCAATGGTGTCCTTTCACAGTGGTCATACCAGTCCCTGTAATAATCTTCAGTTATTCYATTTTCAATATTATTGTGAATCATAGCTTTGTTCCTTTCAGGGGTATAAAGTCTATTAATGATTGGCATTTGTATATTAGCATAATTTGTAGTAAAAATTCATGTGCCTTTTTCATTAAGGGAGAAGAAGGCCAAAAATCAGAATGGAGATCATGAAAATCTGATGAATGTGGTAAGTATTTATTTCTGGTGGCTTGTGACTGTCTTGTGGTTGGTTTGCAAAATACTACAGATTAGAAAATAGCTCAGGAATTTCAAGATGGTTGAGCATGGGGAACTTTAAAAGTTGCAGAACAGGAAGAGGAGGAAAACTTGTGTAGATCCTGATAATCAGCAATTTCTCAGTGCCCTTTCTGCTACCACTGTACTCTTAACTCTCCTTCTTTTCCTTCACTCAGTGAAGGGAAGTGCAGTGTACCCTTTGTCAGCTGCCATCTTCCCATGGGTTAAAGCCATAGGAATGTCTATTRCCATAAAGCTTGGAAAGGACATCACTCTGGACATCTTTGCATTTATAGTTTTTTTTTAAATCTGTAAACACAGGCACTTAAATCTTTAAACCTAGTTGGCATGGTTTGGCTCTCCTGCTWATGATGCCTGTGAGTCAGAGCTCTGGAGATCAGAGTGAAATTCATCGCACAGCYATTCCTGTGAACATTTATCCTGATCCCATGATCACTGATTTGTGTTGCAGCCTTCYGACAAGGAGGTTTTCAGCCACTCCATCACCAGTTCAGTGACAGAACCTCCCCCAAACAGTGAGCAGAACGGAGCACTCAGCAACGGTGAGGGTGAGTAGTGGCACCGCTGTGGGTGGGATGAGCGAGCGGCACCGTCCCAGGGCTCACAGCTCCCACCTGAGCWGCACAGCACATGGTGATGCCTCAGTTTTTAGGTTTCCAGCCATCAGCTTTCCAAGCAGTCAAGCCSTTTGTCTGAATACTCTGCGCACCTCTGCAGGTCTGGCACCAGATCACACAGAATTTATATCCAAGTTAAAAAATGCCGTGAAGTCGTTTGCCTTGCTGGGAAGTCAGTGGAGGTGATCATCCCRTGGAGATTCTGGTGGTTTAGGTTGCATCTTCACTACTGGGTGTGCTCTGCCACAGCCCTACAGCCCCACTCCCAGTTCTCCACACCAGCCAGCACTGGGAGGTGCTGAGGTCCTCTTCTGGGCCACAGGTGTGKGCTACCAAGCCATACCTGCAGATTGACCAGGCCATCAGCCAAAGAATGGGACAGTCCCTAATCTTACTAAGCTATGGAACGGGGTAAAACCAAAAGATGAAGTTGCATCTTAAAGCTTCAGAATTGCTCCAGGAGGCCATAGGAATATTTCAGGTCCTCCTCCAGGGATTACAGGATCCATTCTGTGCTATGTTGCCACACATAATATATTTTTATATTTTAGAAAACAGGCAACATAAATAGGCTTCCTTTTTTTTCCTTAGTCTTTGCTTTGCTGAACACTTAAAATGATTCACCCTGAAGTGTCACTGGAAAATATTTTACTCAGCTGTACCTAAAAATAAACTCACTCTCAGCTCAGAGCCACTGGGAGCCAACTGTTGTCTTCACACTAACACCAACACCAGGGGCTGCACTCCAACTTACAGCTCTCCTCCTCATCTCCTGCAGCTAGAGGCTAAGCTATTCAGACTTTACCCCTTAGAGAGAAATATCCAAAGTAATTTTTAAACTTTGTTTTTGCAGCTAATTGCTACTCCCATCCATTGGCTTGTTGTGTGTGTAGGTGTGTGGTTCCCTGAGGGACGTGATGTGCAGAGCAAAGCCCTGCAGAATGGAAGTATTTCTCTCTGCCATGAGTCACCACATGTGCAGCTGTCAGAGCTGCTGCTAAAAGGTGCACTGTCAACCAGCAGACAGTTTTCAGACTGCCTGGTATTATACTTGTCTTAAACTCTGCATAACAGCCCTTCTGAATAACAGGAACCCCTGTGTTTTAATTTCTTACTTACACTTTATGCACTTTTTGTTAATAGCTCTTTTTATTACTGTTTCTGCTAGCTTTCTGAGCAGGAGCATGCCTATGGAAGCAGAACCATCAAATGCTGGTTTTTTTTTTTCCTTTACCCAACCTGCCAGCATTGTCTTATCAATGCCAGCCCCTCAGCTACACCAACCCCTTCTGTGCTACTACCCATGACTACAGAAGCACAGAAACTTGAGCTCTCATTGCTTTTGATTGTCTCCTCCAGGCTGCATGAGGTGTGTGCTCTTTGGGTTCTGTAAGGGTGCTCTGCACAGCACAGAAATCCTTGGAATCAAGGTCTAGAAAGGCAAAACACCCATCTTCCACTCAGTCAGTGATTACCAGTTTACTCCTTCAGTTGTGTCCTGAGTTTTGCAGTCAGGATATGGCTCCCTGCAGGTGCTGACTGCATCTGCATGCYCTGACCACAGGAGAAAGTAATGTCCATGGCAACCACCAAATCAAGGGCATTGATTGCTTTTGGCAACCATGTCAAACTCACTGAAGGACACAGAAGAATGGGTTGTTTTTGTTGAGATAGTGCCACAGGAACTACCCTAAGTAAAGCTGTTCAAGAGTGATTTTTTTTAAAGAAATCATGTGAGGTAAAGTTACATACCATGTGCTACCTGAAACATACTTGTATATGCCATGAATACATGCAAATGTCACACATGTGCAGTGTAAGATGAGAAGCCCCATAGATTTCAGTCCCTAATCCCATCTAGTGACAGTGACATGTGGCCCACTTCTGAGACCTAAAACAACATGTTCTGCCTAACACTACCTTCTGAAGTCTAGTCTTCTCTCTTGTGCATATGGCCAGCTCGTTAGTAGGTTGTCAGCCTGCATTATGTGCTGCGAGACTAAGAGAAGTATGGCACAGCCTTCCGGTGAGGAGCTTCTGGTGTAGCATGCAGGGAGGGCTGAGCGAAGTGAAATCCCAACGAGAATTTGGCCAGCATGTTAAACAAGCTGAGGGATGGTAGGGAGGAAGTAGGAATGCTTTCCTTTTGATTCCAAAGAATGGGGAAATGCAAAGGGGAAAATCTAACTAGGATTTTTTTTTAAGGCACTTGTTTTGAGGCCTCCCACCTGTTTCCATCTGAGACTACTGAGCACTCTGTAATCATTCAGTGAAACTGTGTACAAAGCAGCTGAACACCCACGCACAGCTACCCTCCYATCCCCTGTTCTGATAGGGAATGCTGTTGCCATATAATGTGACTTGGGGGTGCACAAACTATTTTAGATGTTGTGAGAAAGATGTTTTATCAGTAGAGAACAGAAATGTCTGTAACTGAAACCTTTTGATAAGCAAAAAGCATGTTGATCAMTAGGCATTTCCAGGCATTCATATCATTTATCCTTTCCAGCGTGTCACAAAAGCAAAGTGATGCAGAGAGTACTAATTCACACCTTTTAGTTATGCATTTGTTTGTAATACTTCTCTGTAATTTTCTTTAGTTCTTTCTGAGGACAGTACAGCTGCCTGTATCCAGCCTTATGAAGAAGTGCAGACATCTGATCTACTAGATCAACAGGATAGTCTTGGAAAGTCCATAAAATGTCACCAGAGCCGTGAACTACCCAGTATTCCCCCTAACAACCCCATGGAAACAATCATCTCCTCTAGAAATGCAGAAAATGATCAAGGTCTTGGAATGGAAGGGCCTTATGAAGTCTTGAAAGACAGCTCCTCGCAGGAGAACATAGTTGAAGAYTGCTTGTATGAAACTGTGAAGGAAATTAAAGATGTTGGAGCAGCAGTCAGCATGGAAGGGAAGTCCAACAGCAAATCRAAGGCTTCACTGACAGTTTCTGAAGGTCAGAATCAGATTCCTGAGTGCAGAATTGAGTCAGCAGAATATGCATCTGTTGACMGAAACAAGAAGAGTCGCCAAAGTGCAAACTCAGAAAGTCCTCTTGACAACCTACCACCTGTAGAGGACGAGCTGCCCCCTCCGGTACCCATGAAACTTCTTGATGAAAATGAGAATGTGCAAGAAAAAGAAATGGAAGAAGAAGTGACAGAAGGAGCAAGTAAACCAGAAAAGGTAAATACTGCAAATATTTGTCCTCATCAAACAGCCAAATAATTATGAGAACATATGGGTGGTAGAGGATTTTATTTTTCAGTAACAAAAAATAGCAAGACAAAAACACCACTCGAGATGAAGCAAGACTGCAAGTGGAAATATGATAATTTACAGTATAGTGTTTGTATTAGAGGTGTGTGTTCATTCTGTTGCAGCCTGTATTTTTGATGGTTGCAGTTATGCACTACATAAGGCTTTTGCCAAATATTACCGAGGAATTGCATAGGAGGCCTCTACTTCTTTGTGTGATAGTATTATATTTGTGGAAGCTATTACAAAGAGTATCCAGTATCTTTGTCAGGATCTATAGCTTGTTCAGAATCCCTCTCTTCTTTTTTTTTTCTAATAAAACCACAACTTACAAAAAAGAGAGGGAGGCATCCTTGGTGGATATTCTAACTTTAGATGTGCCTCCTTTGCAGGGCCACCTTGACTGAGCTGTGCAAGTGTTAGGCACTTGCTCCAAGTGACTSACCTTGTCTTTTGCTGTAGGAGAGAGGGATAGAAAGAGAGATTAAAGCTGTATGCCTTTATATTTGTCAAATTCTGTATGTCACACATAAACAGACAAAGGAATTTCTAAGTGCTGATACCACACCCAAAAGTTTTCTCAGCTGCTTATGCGTCCTCCCTGGGAGCAAGTTGTGGTGAACCCCTTGAAAAATAGAATTATGAAATTTTCAACCGTATATTTTCCCCCACTTGTAGTTTTTAATCAGAAGTCATTTTAAGGATGCTTTCAGATCATAGCAGAGACTTTTCTTAAACTGTTGAGTTTGCATTTTTCAGAATGTTTAGTTATCTTCTTATTAATTGTGACTGAAAGACTGTAGGTTTAGCATCTTTTTGGTGTCTGAGCCATCAAGTAATATTAGGTAGGTATTGATGAAAATTTCAAAAGAAATTCTTAAGATGCAACGTGACTTTTTAATGTAAACGTTTACCTGAAAAATCACAGCACAGCTGAGGTATTGTTACTTGTTTCTGGTTATCTTATTTGAAGAATTTCAGTAATCCAGGAAGAAGGCAGAAGAATATCTTGTTAAATAACTAACWAACCATGTAACCTGTAAAGCACAACAGAGTCCAGATGAATACACTAAAGACTACTCACCATATGAAAATTATTTAGCTGGACTCTTCAGTGCACATTCTTACAAATAATGAGCTCGTTAAGTAAARAATTAAGATGTTATTTTAAACAACAATCCAGCAACACCCTTCCCTCCCACATTCAGGCCAAAAGTAATTTCTCATTAAACTTTTAGATAAACAGCTTTGCATMGCAGTGACATTTTTCCTACCACGTGTGAAAAGACTTGCAGAAAGTAGTAATTGTATTTCCCAGGCACCAATACAAAGGAAAAGCCTTTGCTGCTCTGTAGCTCCCGAGCACACTGTTCACGCAGTGTCAGTAACTGCAAGGAGTAGGAATTGATTWAAATGGTTCTGGTTTTGAAGGATTAATCAAGAGATGACACATGCAGTCCCCTAAATGCCAGAAAAAAAGGTGTTTGTCTAATTAAAATTTATTCAGAGCTGTAGCCACCCCGAGTTAAAGCTTCAGCAGCATCAGATCATTGCCGTGCTCGCTGCTGGGTACATGCATTATGCATCGAGGCGTGCGCCTGTCCTGTCCTTGAGAGCTACAGCTGCAGCAGAGTTGGAAATGGTAATTGATGGAATATATAAATGTCATTATTGTTGGCATTGTGTGGGGAGGTGGTTATGGGATTGTTTTTCTGTTGTGATGGTGATAATTTTTCCCTTTATTTTGCTGCTTCAAGCCATGCAGATCAATGCCCGTTTTCTTTCAATGTGGCAACCAAAAACAAGATGTTTATGGAGATATATATTATATTGATAACTTTCTTAGTTAGATTCCATACGTATTTCTGGTTTTGCTTCCCCTCCGGTGAATTTACTTAGCTGCTCTGTTTATCATGACATCTGCATCCCAAACTCTCAAACCTGCCCTGACCCTGATGAAGACAGAGGTTGTGTGTAAGTCGTGCAAGTCTCCCTAACTACAATGAGTGCACAAAGGAGGGACAGGCAGGGAGGCCACCTGTGTAACCAAGGCTTGTACCTGACAACCGAGGGAACAGTCTGTGTCCAAGCTGTTTCAGTCTGAGACTGTTTCAGTCTCACTGTCTAAAGGAGGGCAGCCAGGGTGATCCCCAGCCYGTGTGAGTTCCTGAAACGCACAAATCTGGGAGGGAGCTAGGTGAATCCAGAGACCATTCCCACATAATAACAACATGAAAAGGACAAAGCATCCTTTTAAGGGCCAGGTGTGCAATTAATGGGTGAAAATTTACTTAAACTGTGACCCAGCTAAAGCCCTTGGAAGGACTCAGTGAAGAAAGGTATCTTTAATAACACCTGCAAAAATTTGAGCATAGTTCTTCTAATAAAACTGGAAAAGCAGAAGAGATTCAGGTTTTTTTTTTTTTTTTCCTTTTATTTAAAACAGAAGGGCAGTATGGATCTCGTTTTTCACCCAGATCTTTCCAGAGTGAGCCCTGGAAGAAATTATCTCTGTGTGTACATCTGGCTGCTGCCATCTGATTTCAGCCTTGTGCAGCCTGAGGAGGGCAAAGCATCTCTTACAAATGCACCAAAGGAGAATGTTCTTCTTGTTCTGGTGCCCAAGTCAGGAGCAGCAGCTGAGCCAGAGAGCAAAAAATCAAGTGCTGTTGAGGAACAAAAGGGAATTGGAAGGCAAATAAGGATACATGTTTGTGTTGCTACTGTTGAGGTTTCAGGCATAGTTGATGATTCCACTAGGTGCAAAATGTTCAAGAGCAAGTGGAGTTTTTTTAAGTTACCAAGATAACAATGTCCTCCAAAACTGATGTGTCACAGGCTTCACATTTAGAAGAAAGAAYGCTATATCCAGGGCAACAGTACAGGATGGCAAACACCCTGGGGTATTTATCAGTACTTGAGTGGGAAACTGTAGAAGGGGTCCTGACATGTGGTGCTTACAGAAACCCTGATGACAGAAAAATCACTGAAGAACTTTGTGAACACATACTTGTTTTAATGTGTGAGGATGAAATTAGTAACTTACTCCTCAGCACAAAAAATATACTGCAGATAGGAAAGACTAAACTAAGTTGCTGTAGTGAAGCAGATCTAATACAAGGCCAAAATAATTAAATACATTTGAACTTTTCCTTTAATTTCCTCTTTTTTTTTTTTTTAAACAAACCACAGGTTAAAGAGTGCTGTTCTCCAGACACTGAGAAAGAAGCRAGGGAGTTTGTCAGTGAGGGAAGCTCCTGGGGAGCAGCAGGCAGACTTCAGTGTGCTTTGGGCCAAGGTCTGTCAGAAGTGCCCAGGAACTTGAAGTTTGGTATTTACCAGAAGTAAAAACAATGAGAAGATGAAAGGACAAAAGAATCTATCATAATGTGCCTCTGTAAAAAAAAACAACAAAAGAAAACAAGTTCTGTGTGCCTGGAAGTGGTATTTCATTGACTGTGCTAAAAATAGCTCTACTTCTCCATGTTGGTTTGCCCTGGGAGTGGTATGAAATATTTTAGTTGGAGAAGTTGTGTGAAAGTCCAAACTATGGCCTTTTATAGTGCTGGAAGGCTCCCTCTGAATCACTGTGGAGCAGGAGTCTGGCAAAGCCTTCTTGCCCCAGGGAGGAGGCATCCCACTGCTGCAGGGTCTTTATTGTTATAAAGGTCCTAAGGCATTTTTCATAAGAGCAAAATGCTTTCCCCCCGATGTTTCATAGCCTGTTTTCCACAGAATACTTCACATGCTTGAAGTTAAACTTMATTCCAAACCAAGCCCTCTGTCCTTCAGCTCAGGGTGGGCTACAGCAGGTCCAAATGGTTGTGAGGCTGGGCTGCTGAGCATCTCTGCACAGGGGCTGCATTCCAGGGATGGGAAGGACACAGCTCTCCCCTGCAGCACCTCAAGAATCCACAGAATGAAGGACAATAATCAACAGGAAGGTGTCAGCTGAGTGTTGTTCTTTTGTTWTTTAAAAGCATATCTGAAAATCCTGTGAAAGGGCAACTGGTGTATTGCAACAGCTRACTTCTAATTGTTCAGAAGTCTCTGCAGACACTTCATAAGAAGTGTAAATGCAGCCATACAGCAGTGCAAAGTTTGTTTTAACCATTACATTATTTTTACCCTTTTCAGGTCAGGACAAGAGCAGATCCATTAAAAAGCTTTACTAACCTCASGGTTGTTCTCTCCAGAGAAGTACTCTGAATAGTGTGGATATTAGYTATGTATAATGGAACTTGAGAGCAAATGACCAAAAAAATACAATGTATTGATTGTAATGGGAGGGTTTTGTTACARATTTCACACTGTTGATGGGTAACGAGCTTTTTATTTTCTTTCTTTCTTCCTTTTTTACAGAGGCTTAGTTCAGTGTCTTACAAGTCTCGAGAGGAAGATCCATCTCTTACAGAAGATGAGGTAGGTTCCTTGCATGAAATTCAGTAACTAACTAGAGACCAGTTTTTAGGCAGAAATTAGCATAAACTCTGCATGATTAAGCATAATCTAAGAAAGGTGAAACTTCTATGAGGAGAAAATKAAAGCCCAAGCTTCTCTGCACAGTTTTTATTGCCATATTCCTAAAATGAGAAATATTCTGACATATGGCTGTATGAGGCCTATAGATTGAAAAAGGTGTCAGAAAATACTAGGAAGCCACAATTAGTTGATCGTTAGGGWAATTTCTTGATTTAGATGACAAGATTTTCTTAAGAAGAATAACCAGCAGCTTTTTGAAACATGGACCGCCTTCCCCATGCAAAGTTTTTGGGGCTCTGGGAAGTAAACTGAAACACAATAAAAGCACTGGAACATAAACTGTTCTTTAAAATGTCTCTTGGTCAAATAAATGSAGGAGATTTAAACAAAGAGAAAAGTTAAACAGAAACAAGGCTGTTTGTCATCATCTCCAATACACCCATGCCATTTATAAATACATTCTCYGGACATAAAAGTAAACACAAACTTGGCAGTGAGCTACGTGCTTCTCTGCTGGGAGAAGCATTCCCAGGCATTAACGAATAAGCTGATTTTGAACTGGGTTAATGTAATCTAATATTGAGAAGAGTTAAAATGAAAATGAGCAGAAAAGCTATTTTTTGTTTGGTTAGCTAAAATCAGTAAAAAGTAAGAAGTGTTGCCATCTCCAAGTTGATGTGTAGCACCTCAGCAGAGGGGATTTTTAGGGTTAGGAGTGAAATGCTCCCTTTCTGGTGTTTACAGCTGAGCGGTTTCAGTCTCCAGTCTAAAGTCCAGATACTCAGTGCCTTAGAAGCAGCTCTTCTTTATAGAGAGAATTTAGTCAATAGAACAGACCTTGCATAACTGTATTGGCACTGACTGTTCGCAGTTTTCTGGTGTAAATTATCTGCAGATTTTTAATGTTGTCTTCACATGACGTGGTACCTATTTAGTCCTGCCTATTGCAGTGTCTCTAAAAGCAGAAAAATAGCCACTACCATTAAAAATAATTAACAATATTAAAAGCCCTAAGGATCAGACGGCATTCTTTTCCTTCGTTACAGAAGTTCAACCTGATCCTCCCTTTGATCTCTGTCTCCCTACTGATACTAAATTGACTCCAGGACCATACCAAAACTTGCAAGAGCTCCTGCTCACAAAGCCAGYCCCTATTGTCCAGGTCTAATTTTCTTGCCAGGGATTTATATTCAAAGAAGTTTCMCATTAATAAACTTACTTGATAAAGCACTCTTTTTTTTGAAAGAAAATCAATTTATAAATGCATGCCCGAAAAGGAAGGATTTGTAAGGAATATTATAATAATTTTTTTTTCAAGAAAAAAACATATCCTTTCAAGAAAGGATACGTTTTTATCAGAAGATCCTGTCTTTTCTTAAGTAGCCAACATCCTTGGAGTAMAAGGGTACAGAGTGGTGCACAAGCTTTATGCCATGCTTCATACTCAGGAGGTGTCTCCTTTTCCTAGATCTCAGCCATGTATTCATCGGTGAGTAAGCCAGGACAGGCCATCAAAGCACTGGATTCTCCTTACACCTGTATTCAAGAAATCACATCTCAGAGGTCCCCGTCTGTTTGCAGTGGCCTCTATGCAAGYGTGAAGGACTTTGAAAACACCCTAAATTCCACCACCGTGCCTCAGTCAGCAGACAGACCAAACGGGGAGCTAGAGCCGGATTATGAAGCTATCCAGTCAGTGAGCCAAGAAGAAGACAGGACCTTGTCCGTGCCTAACACAAACCACACTGCTCTTTCAGGAGAGAATGACTATGAGAGCATAGGGGACCTGCAGCACCACAGGGAATTCACCAGACTTTAACTTCTCTGGCAGCAGATTTCCCCACTGTTATTTTCAAAGGAGCAAGTGAAACACGGAGAGGGAAGTGCATCTTCTTTTGAGGAACAAAGCTGAAGTCTAGAACACAAGTTGTGAAGAAGCAATGTATGTTTCAGCCAGGGTGTGATACCTTCTGGTTTTTCTGGGTGCTGGATCGAGGCTCATGGGAAAGGGTACATCAAGTCTGAATGATGACCAAGACAACGTCCAGGTTTCTTTATGATTAGCTCCAAGGCAAATGTAATTTGGGAWGGAGTGCCATGCTTGTCATCCTGATAGGATTACGTACCAAAAAGACTGCCTTTTCACCAGTATAGCTTYTCATTTTAAGAAATTATTTTGTGTCATTTTCTTCGAAGCATTTTTCAAGCATAATTTTTCATTCAGGTTTTGGCATCCACGATGTTGAGCAAACCACAGCTCATTGTACCTCAACTCAGACTTACTTTGGAGGGCTGGGGAAGGTGCACTCACTTCTGTGTCTCTYGGGGACCTCTGTCCACATTCACTGCAACTAAAGTGCAAACAACAGTACTTCACAAGGGACTGACTCCAAATGTACTTGAATTAATTCTGTTGGCTTTTCCTTTTTCCTTTTCTTTTTTTCTAATGTCAAGGGCTGTAGAATGTGACTTGCAGTATTTGAGATGTGTACTGATATTTGTGGGGGTTTGGTTTGATTATTTGTGAAATATCCCTTTAAAATGGCARTGGTCAACCTTAGTGTTCTTGCACTGTTTGCCTCAAATGGACATAAACACCTACACATTCACACCCCAGATAATTGTCATGTTGCAAAAAGTTGTGCAAATGAATGCTTTAGCATAATGTGTAGTCTAATCTTAATAGTATTGAGTCTTTTTTGCAGAATTTTTCCTTTTTTAAGACTTAAAGTATTTTAATATGTTCGTCTAGTTTATTATATAGGAAAATTTATGTACTGTGTTGAGTGGATAGTATTTTTATTTTTTACAATATATTTTTCATCTTCAAAGTTTTTGTAGATTAACTTACCGGGTTTTGTAACAGGAGGAATCCCATTCTTTATTTGGGCTTTATTTGTTCAGGATTTTTAATTTTTTTTTTTTTCTTATTTCAGAAGCAGATAAATGAAAATTGTTTTGAGGTTGTTTTGTTGGCTTTTTCTGTCTCCTTGAGCAGCGATATAGAACATGCCTTGCTGTTTTTAAGCTCAAAATAATGGAGTCTACRTAAAAGGACACTGCTGAAGGGCAAAAAGGAGGCAAAAGAAACAGTGGGATTTAGTCAGGCATAGCCATGGTCTTCCTTGTTCTTCTGCTGAAAGGAGCAGGAGGGCAACCAAGACCTTCTYGGGTCTCTGACACGCAGTTTGAAAGCCACTAGCTTTTCAAAAATGCCGAGTTACTCTGTTACTGTGAAAAACAAAGTACAGTGCTTGGATGAAATAAATAGGTACTGGATTGGTACTTCTTTTCTTCAAAAATAGTACAATAAATAGTACAATGGTACGAGAATAGTCCAACGGTGGAGAATTGGCATKGTGTGACATGCATGTGCACACACCCCCATGTATATAAGCATACACTTGTAATTTGGACACAAGTATAAATTATAGTCTGAGCTTGGTGACATTCACATACGTAATATCTGGCATGTGCTTGAAGAGCAGTTTATTTTTAATTGAAAATGAATAGCACATAAACTGAGGTTGGCTTATTCTGTAGTAAACAGAACAGGTTTACTTTCAGCTCAGTTGGTACTGGGTTTTGATATTCCAGGTTGAGCCCTTCTTGGATTCTTGGTCAGTGTTCAACATTACTTGGTACCATAAAGAGCAAACACAGATCTGGTTATGCATATTTATTAGAAATAACTTCATAACTGAAAGAAGTGTGCTKATTTATGGGCTTTGCCTGTAAATAGTACAGCTCTGAGGAGCAGTGCAAGTGTTCAGTCAAACTCTGCCCACGGGGAGTTCAAACTTCAGGGATCCTGACCTTGTGTGACAGCACAGCACATTTGATCTTTGACTCTCTTCCTTGGAGGAGAAGCAGTTCAGACGAGTCTAGATCCATCTTGTTCTTTACCATGCTGCCATGTTTTGACAGCTGCAGCAAACTCTTTGCTTCCACTTCACTTCAGTGCTTTTTAAGGATGACTTTGGCTTTGCATTCTGGAGTTTCTCCCTTTATGAAAGTTTCTGTTTCCTTGAATGTGAATTCATGAAGTTCCCCTTTGACTGTTCTCTCCTTCTACTTCACACTGTTTAATGCCAAAGATGAGATGCACCATGTTTCAGAAGATCTGTTGAGCTCATTCTGGAGAATTTCTTTAGTCTTTAACTCTGTGTTTGCTGTCTGTCTTTTCTCAGGGGTACCAGTTTATATATGTAGTCCTCAGTCTGACTCTGCAGCTCAGTGGCAGGCATACCTCAACTCCTGAAATTCCCAAATACATCTTAATTATCCCCTCACAGGGGTGACTGCTTTTGAAGAAACAGTGGGAACATGAGGTATGCCAGGTTCCCCAGATTCAATTTCAAGACCAATACAAAGATAATGTCAGTTGATAGCAAAAAATAAAACTGAACTCTTGATTGTAAAATTTCAAGGTGCAAAAGAAGAAAAGCAAACATCACTCTMCAAGTGCCCCCATTGAGACCAGCAGGTCAAAGGATGGTGGAGGCCTGTCCAGTCACTCTGTTGTCTTTCACAGCTGGAGCAAGAATATTGATTTGGAGGAAGGGACACAAGATGTGGGCCCTTCCTTCCTTTCTTTCCTCTGTTCTGACAACTGCTCCTGAGACCCCCCGAGACTTCCATTTTTCATAGTGAAATGAAAAATTTTCCTCCCCCTCTCTTCTTTCTTTCCTTTCTGTTTTTAACCTGTCCCATACAGGCTGGCACTGGGAGTTGGTACCATGTCTGCAGTCCTGTGGCAGTGGCACATTCCTTCTGGTTTAAATGGCTCTCAGGCTGGTCACAACCTTTTAATGGTCCATCAGATCTCAGTCTCGTGGAGAGGCAGTTCACAGTTTGGATTGCTGCTTTTCAGATGTATACCTGCCCTCAGCCTTGAGACCCACACACACTGGACTTTCAGAGCTGCAAAAGAGAATTACCCTCCTGAAAAAGGATGTACAGGGAAGTCCATAATTCCCTTTCAATCTCTATTATATAGTCTAATGCTAAAGGAAAATGTTTTAGAATTCAACCCAAGATTCTCAAGTGAATTCTCAAGCTTCTGGTTTAGTTCCCTCTTCCCAGAAGTAAGATCTGTTCCTGGCTGTTGTCAAGGCTTCCTTTTCACTAATATACTCAATAGAAAGATTTTTTCAACAGTAATCCCCAAAGAGATTAATCTGACTGTAAAGAAAAGGGAGTCTTTTCTACTTGTCTCTTTACTTCTATTTTTTTACTCTTTCACCATATCCCAAAATAAAATGTCAACATTCAAAATGAAGTATTTGTTACCTGGTGATGTTCTCTGTGGAAGGTTTGGAGCCTATTTCTTTGCCTCCATTTTTTGGCACAGCTGTATAATAAGATGCACACATCAAATGCCACAGATTTGATGCACACATCAAATGCCACAGTAAGTCCAAGAGAAGCTGTAATGTGTATATAACTGCCCTAGTGAAAAGGTCTTTTTGATTTCCCTGTGGGAACTGGTAGAAAATTAGAAATGCAGTTCAGACATCTCTTCCATGAACCTGTGTTCTCCCATGAGAGTTGTTCTTACCACATACCTAAGCAAGTGCTAATCCTGTATGTAAACCAGTCATCCTCTCCTATCGTRAGTATAGAATTACTTTCTCAGTCACAGAGAGAAATAATTCTTTGCAGATACGTGTAGCACAGGCATGTACCCAATTACCMCAGTTAGATCAGTTATAGTGCCTTCTCTACATAGTAGCTGGTACTTCCATACTCTCTTCCATAYTGTAGATGTTTAATGCAAAAGTACAAAGGGACAACCCCAGCATTTACTTGTCCCAAGGTGSAAGCATCTTTATAGAAACAAGTTTAATGTACTGCACCTCAGTTAGCCCTACAATAGCAATAGTCACTGACAAATATCCACTAAAAWGCCCAGTGATGTAGCTACAAYGACTAAGCTTTGCAATAAGAATTAYCAATCTTTTGAAGAACCTAAGTTTTACAATAGTGAGCATTCAGGGAGGTGGTGTCCATGTCAACTGTGAACAGTTAGTTGCTTCAGTCTTTCTACTAATACAAATTGCAGGCTTGCTTAYATGTAGCAGGATCCATGGAGTGAGAGATGAGCAGGTGTGGGGATTCTTATTCATAAATAACCCAGAKTTGGGCCATCCCCACAGTTTCAACTGGCTGATGACCAGCTGCCTTGTTCTCTAAGCCCTCATCTATCGTGCCTTCAAGGAATCCATCCTGCAGGGATGCTTCTGGGCTGCATGCTTYTCCATGGCTCCCTGAACAGCTCGTGTCTGCTGTTTTGAACACAATTCCATATCTGCGGTGCTCTCTGTTCAACCTTTCAGTGGTGCTTTTATAAGATGCTGGATAAATGGTTTGCATGTGCTTTCTGAAAGCTTGACRTGTAAAGCTGTGACACAGAGTGCTCTCTCTGGTATTGTCTGCTCCCCAGAAGTTGGCTTTAACTGTGCTACTCTTGCCTACAAAAGCTGACAGTGCTGCCCTGTCTCTTGTTCACCTCACCGCAGTCAAAGTGGAGTCACCACGTGTGACAAGCCTAGGCTGGGGCACGGGTGTTTAAAAGCAGCCATTCAGGCCAGGCAACTTGGCTTGGAAACAGCTAGAGACACGACTCTGATCTGTGCACTGTGGCACTGGAAACATCATAGCCCAGCCCAAGGACTTTTTTTGTCTCCTATTGTGCATGTACATTTATTTGCCATGTGACTGTAAGAAATCTGTTTCTGCAACAAACCTTTTAATTCAGACCACACGCCAATGAGGCACTTGTGCTCTTAGGCAAATAACCGGTTATTTCAGATTAGTGTTATTTTTTGAGGTTGGAATATGCCTGAATAAGGCTTTTACGTGCCCACAAGTAATTTGGTGGGGTAGTCTGCTGCTAAACAGAAGAATGCAGATAGATGCTCAGCCTGACAGATGCTCCTTTGGTGGTGGTGGTGAAGAYTTCTAAGGGCACGTCTTTTCCTGGGAGCAGAGAACATAATTACTGTTAATATGATTTCATACCCTGAAGTCAATTTGTGCATCTCTGGGATGGTGGAGGCTGTAGACATTGCCAGAGCAGATCTCAGCCTCAGAAAAGAAAATACATATAAAATATATCCCTTGCTAGCAAGCAATATGTGTTCAGGATWATGCTAAATGCTGCAAATGGAACATCATAGAGCTAAAAATACAGGGTTCCCTTTTTTCAAGGAGAGACAACCCCTTTGGTTGATCAGCATGAAATATCCCTGTCTTACAAAAAGCATGAAACAAATTAATTGCCTATGTGRTAATTTTCCAGGAGTGCATTAGGATATTACAGAACTAGGCACTGTTCTTTTCTCCTGAACAGCAGAAAGATGAGAACCTTACTTGTAATTCCTATTGATGGGAATCAATGTTCCCATTGATTAATTGATAAAACTTAATTTACATATAATCCAAAGGTCAGCAAGAGTGTCTACACAATGTAGATATATTTTAGCTCTGGCACCCCAATTTCCATAGCAAATGCACAGATTGTCTTTGCATTACTTACCCATTGGTCTGTGCCCAGTCTATGGATAATAACTTACAGATAATAACAACAGAACTTACAGTTCTGTTTTTTCAAGCTGTGAGGTTTTGTTTCTGGAGGTCTTCACTCTAAAACTGGCCAGAAGGACAGTCACTACAAGCATAATAGCAAAGTGCCTAAAAATACAGATGYTTCTGTAAAGATAAACATGCTCACTGTTATTGCACAACCAATTGACTACKGTATGTGGGACTCTCTTGCCATACACATTCCTAAACAGTCTTTCATTTGTGATGTTCATTTATTGTTATAATAGCACAGTCTGACAAGAGTTTTGTCTCTGCAAATTCATTGGCTCATTTTAACTAGCATGTGTTTGTACAGAAAATACAAAATGAGATTTTGTTTCATTTAGAAAACAGGTTATTTCTTATAGTTTATAATAATGCAACAATTAGCTTAGATTATTTATAAAGTTTGTAAGTATCACTTGACTTAAAAATGCTTCATTTGAGATTTCAGAATGCCTCCTGTTCACTACAAAACAATACAACCAGTTCCTCTCCTTTTAATCTTGTTATTTTGGGGAGGGGGGCTTAAATCATGCAAATGTTCCTACCTAAAAAAAAAAAGAGATACTGCTGATATTTTCAATTCCTAATGTCTACAAAGAGAACGATTTTAATATTTTAACTTTCATATTTTAACTTTCAGCTTAGGTTGGATTTGGACTACYCTCTTATTTATGGAACTGCTCTTCCCCACTATGTTCAGCTGTCACCATCTGAGTACCTATTTTGTCCTTATTGAAACATGACAGTTGTACAGAGGGCACAGAATCTGCATCACATAACACTTCTGAATAGGACCTTTTAAATRCACCTGTGAGATTTAGGAGCCTGGACTTCAGTTTTGGGGTAATCRCATCCTGTCTGGAGGACATCTGTGGAGGTCTTCACTTTCTTTAAAGGCAAGAAATTCTGTAGCTTGCAAGCACTCAGGTGACATTCATAGTCATATATGTAAGATGTGAATTGTCACAATGTTTAAATATATTATTAAAGAGWCACCTAAGAGCACAAGAACCTTCTTTCTCATATGTCTGAGGATACTGGAATATGCTCTTTATATCTGAGACTGAGAAAAGTCACATAACCGGTCTCCTCACAACATTCTACCAGTAGACAGGTCTTGGAGCCACTGTGGTGGCTCCTGAATTTCTGCATTTATTACCTTTATGATTTCCAGCAGGGCCTATCTCCTCATCTCATCTCATCTCATCTCATCTCATCTCATCTCATCTCATCTCATCTCATCTCATCTCATCTCATCTCACTCTGCAGTGATGACTGCTTAGGAATGGCCCTTTGCTTCACAGTCCCAACCCCTTTCATTTAAGGAAGGGGATGTGAGTTGCTTCTCCTCAGTCTGACTCGTCTTTCTAGATGAAAGGGTGCTAAAAGCCTACCTTCAGACCCAGAAAAGAGCATTCACTGTCAGGGCAAGACAGGTACGGCCCACTGCAGCAGCTAGGAAGGAAGAGGTAAAGGAACAATATCTTAAGTTTCATTTGCACTTTCCCCATMTCACAAACCACCTGTTTTGAAATATTTTTAAAGTAGAAAAGGTTACAGTAAAGGGACAAGTGCTGAGAATCTCAGAGGAGACAGATAGGACTGTTTATTCTTCTCRGTGTTCCCTATACACAGAGAGTCAGGGCAAGTAATCTCTGCCCAATTATGATGCACCTGGGTTATCTTTTATTGAGCCTCCACATCAACAGAACTGAAACAAACAAATTCTAAATACATGGTTTCTTTATATAATGAACCCAACATGGGCAAATATAAATGCACTAATGTAAGTAACCATGTGTAGATTTGGACTTGCACGATGGGAGGTTTTTAGCAAAAAAAAAAAAAATTAAAAAAAAAAACAACCAAAATAAAAAACCAAGCAAACAAAAACCAACTCTAGCTGGATTACTTTATTTAAATAGAATTGAGCCAGGCTGCAGGATTGGGCCCTAAGAGTTTAGAAGTTTGGTTTAATGATAGGTACTTCTGCTTGTATTTCCAGTGAAATGTATTTTCTTTCTTTTATATTAGTGAATTGATATGACTTCCACAAGAACAACAAAAATAGTCTGTTATATGAATAATTATGTCTATTAGCTAATTATTAAAATCATACCTCAGTAAGAGTCACTTAAAATTGGGTGCTATTTGAGCTTCAGCATAAAATTGCTTTACATATGGAACATTGCATACTAAGAACACAGTGGATAAGAATTTGTAATTACAGACACTTTTGCTTATTTTATCCATTGCTTTAGAATGGAATATCTCTCAGCAAAGTTCTCTCACATAGTGTTTTTCTCTCACATAGTATATTTTTTCTGGAATATCTCTCAGCAAAGTTCTCTCACATAGTGTTCTAACAACAAAATGTGTTTTCTGGACAACCATTTTGAGTGTCTGATCACTGACACAGAACTGCAAAACATCCTCAAACCAGTGTGAGCTTGTGAAAAGAGAGGGTTAGAACTGTCTTGCCTGTCTTAGAGTGGATACAGTTAAATATACTGAAGTTCAGATGCATAGGCATTGAGAGCAGCTCAGTGATTCAATGACTGTGCCATGTACATCTGGAGTCAATGCATGCAGACTTCCAAGATGGCATAAGCTAAGGCTTGTTTGCTGCCTGAAGGGTTATTTGGCTTGCTACCTGTTTGAAATCAGTATAGTTTTATCCACACCACTGCAAACACTGAAATACTGTCRTTTGCAGAATATATGTTCCATAAATTGTAGCTTAACTATAATTGCAGGGCTTATCCCACTATTAGAGCAGTTCACATCC